TGTTTTGAAAACGTCCTCTCCATGTTCCGGGTGGATTACACGCGCGCGGTTTCCTTAATTTAGGATTAGAACCAGTGAAATCGAAATGCTATGAATAATTGCGGAAGACGGACATTAGGTTCACGATCACAGGTATTTTAGGATTACCGGGGATCAAGCTTGTTTTTTCGAGGGACGACGCGGCTTAATACTGGGCCGATGTTACGATGCGTCCACTCGGAAATGAGTATCCGACTTTTTCTCGAGTAATCACTGCTATAATTCGCGTGCGGCGATACCTCGGTTCGCGGGCAAGTCCTTCCGTCGATCGGCGCGGTTCGCCACTGTGTAGATCATTGGAATTATCGTTTCAAGAATGTACGCTCTGTTTTCCATGGTGATTGGAGCACTCGGAGACCTCAAAAGTTTTTCAGCGTTTTGTTGGTGGGACTTCGCGACCGATTTCCTGGATTGATGAAAGAAGATCGACGATTCATTCGAATGGAAGTGAAATCTTTACGGACGCTAATTGTACAGTTTTCTGGTAATTGTATTCTGATTTCGTTCAGTATGAAGATGCGAAAAACGTTGAATGTCTAACCTAAAGCGATTGGAACTACTTCTATACCCAAGCATCGCAGAAATCTCCTAACCCATTCGATACTCAAATTTTGTTTCTAAACTTTTGAGTCTCATAAAAAGTTACTCTTCGATAACGGTTTGATTTATATTAAAAGAATGAGACACTTTATTCACGACAAATCTAGTCTACCTGTTCGATCTTCATCAGGTGATCAGAATTCAAGCCAATTAAATCCGCACACGTAACGAAAAAGGTTCGCCTTGGAAAGAAACATTTAACCTAGATCCTGGAACAATTAGAATACCGGTGTCCGAAGGTTAACAATGTTTCCAGCGGCCCGCTGACGTCGGCGGTGAAAAGTACCGCCTTGAAAGCATCGATACGATGCTCTTGAGTAATTACAACGGTCAAGTTTCGCTCCGCGGAAAACCGTTTGCAACGGGCGATAGAGTCTGGCGTTACGCGCTGGATAGAAAGTATCGACTCGGAGCCGTCTAGTCCATTTCCCGGAGTGATGATAGTGCTTAGTTTTCCGCGCGAACAGCGTTGCGCGCCGTTGAAGCGTGTTTCTCGGTCATCGTTCACACGTGTGCACAGGTACACGCGAACAGGCACAGTAGGCCTCTCGCGTCTGTGTATTGTTTATAGTTTTGATCGATTACGCGCGACTTAATTTACGAATGGCGAATTATTGGGACGTCCCATGAGTTTGTGCCACTTACTTTTCTTGACAAATATAAAATTCTTATAACCTCAGAACCTGTGGTTCTCGAATACCTTATAACGACTAAATTGAAGTATAAAGGTTTAGTCGTCTAAAATCTACTGTCGCTCTGTGATTACAGCATAAAGTTATGGGACGATCTAATAGCAACGAAAATAAGATGAAGAATTGTATAGAATCTAGAATAGAATACAATAGAACTGCATTCTTCAGTTTAGCCAGCAAGTAGTGGACTATACTTGTCAATCCTTGCACTATGATCTCTTTTACATTTTTCTTTTACATTTTTACATTTTTCATTAAAAATAGAAGAGTTCCATACACATTCTACTCGTTTTAAAATGTATCAGTATATATAAAATGATTAACAAACAGAACTAGTTAAACAGGGTTAACAAACACATGTAAAATAAGTAAAAACGAAGACTTCTTCGCACACTGGCAAATGTCTGAATTAATTACCAGCACAACAGGTTAACACATTGTGTACTGGTAACGAGAAATCTCGTCTTTATATAAAGACATTTAGCTATGCAACTTTGCTAACTACCGGAGCATTTAAAAAAACATTAAGTTTGATTCGAATTGATTATCTACTTAGAACCACGGTTTCCAACCTGAGAGGTGCGGCTACCAGGGGTGGCGCCAAAATTTTTAATAAAAAATTAATGTTCATACCATAATATCTACAAATAAACTTCATATCGTAACGTAACAGTACAAATTCAGTTAAGCAATGTTTACTTTGTAATATAGTTGTTATTATTTGAAACCTATTTATATTATTATATCTATTGCAAGATAGGGAGGCGGAAAAAAAATTGTTTAGGGAAGAGTAGTAGCATAAAGGTTGGAAACCGCTGATTTAGAATATATTACATTACAATTTGACATCTGAGTTCTCCGTACATAGCGATACAAGTCGATCTCTCTGAAAATCGTCGTCCGGTACGCAATGTGTTAAGATATCGACGTCCATGTTCATTCTCTATCGTCGCATTCTATTTCGTTGGCGTTCCGTTACGCGGCTCGGCCAATAAGAAAAACGTGTCAAAACTGAACAAGACCGTTTCCCCTGCCCCGTGCACTTTCAGGTTGTCGGTAACCGGCACGTACGTGAGCGTCGAACAAGTACTCACTTACATGTACACATCCGCGCTCGTCACAATTTCTCTAAAATCGCCGCGTACTTTCTAGCATGCATCACGGCTAAAGAGGTTAACGGCCACGATATTTTCAGCTAATTGCGCGTGTTCGGCGGCCGGCTGGTTAACGGCCCGATAAAAAGTTTCGACGCGCGCCGCTGGATCACGCGCGTGCCTCGCCTCGTTCCGAGATCGAAAGTAACGCGGAAACGGTTCCGCCTCGAACCACCCTTCGCTTCTCCTGGTCTTTTTCAGTTTTTTTCCTGTTTCCTCGGTCGCTCGCGAGTCGATAAGGCGACGGAACTTTGCTACTCGATTCCGCTCCTCACCCGGAACACACTTTGAATCACGAAGCATTCGGCACACAAATCATTAACCGATTCTCGGATGCTCAATCATTACTTCTATCTTCCGTTCTCGCGAAGAATGCGTCGTATTACTCGTGCCTCTTGATAGAAACCATAACATATAGCGCAGACGAGTAGATGAGAAATGGCAACTGCACAAGAAACCACTGAGTCACCGTGCATTTCGCGAAGCCCCTCCTTCGTCCGCTTCGTCCGAACGCGCGTACGACCATCACGCCGGAAAGTTTATTATCAACTGGAAAAAACCGTTACACGGTACGAGAGAACGAAATGTCACCGGAACCGCTAAAGTCGCCTCGCGCGCATACGCCGCGTCGTAAAAGGATGAGGAATTAAAATTGAATTTCACCGGCGAATAAAAAGATCCTCCGCGGTTTCCACGAATTTCTCCAAAACGAGCCGTGCACAGTACATTAATCCGACATCGATTCTCCGCATCAGGAATTCCCAGCAACGCGCAGCACGCCCGCGGAGCCACCGCATTGTCGGGGAGAGAGAAAGAAATCGCGTACGCGTTAACGGATTTCGAATACTTCATCCGGCGCGGCGGCCCCGTCGACGAAGTCGAAGAAGAAGAAGAACGAAGAAGATATTCCGGCTATTCCGCGGCTGAGAGGACGCGGTCAATTAACCTGCAACTATCCGCCGGATCGTTCGGTGGTGGGGTGGGCCGCTCCCCTAATTAATCCCAAACACGTGTGGTAGCCGCGACTCGATTAAAATTCCCGCGTTTAATTACGCGGACCGCGATTAATCGGACTCCGCGGGCCGGCCCGATGACAATAGGGCGCGGCCACAGGGTGCGCCCGTGCACCCTGACGTGTCCGATCGATCGAGAGGTGAACCCGACGGCAACAAACACGGTAATTGTCCAGAATCACGGCTCCATTTCAGTGGTACCAGCGTCGATTATGTTGCGGGAACAGGTCTCACTGGGTACGGAGTTTACCAATCTCTATTGTCTGAATGAAGTTCGAGTACACACATTGCAACGAATGCAACTTCGATCAGTGAGAATGGAGACAAACATGTTTAGCAATGCGAAACTTTAATGCTTCACAACTTTTGATCGAATACTCTCTGCTAAAAAGATTAGTTTTGGGTGTACAGGATGGTGACCTTAATAGCATATGTCAACATCAATGTTATATTAGAATTGCTCTTTTTGTATATAAGTGTGAACACTCTTTATATATATTTTCGAGAATATCTTGCAAATCGGTGTTTGTAATTAACGCGAACTCCAGCTTGGATTTAACTGAAGCTTATAGAAATGTTACTTGGTTCAGTTATAGTTTAACTTGGGTTTTAATCGTTCACTGGAAGGCGGAATTGATTGTGATTTAATTTTGATATATTGTATTCCGTTCTGCATTAATCGACAGTTAAAACTCGAATTTCTCGATGTTTCTCCTCTCGTAATTTTGTTTCTGAAGCTTCCAGTGGTCAAGTAACCGTTGTCTTCAGAAGACTGATAAGAATTGCTACAGAAATTCGCGGTCCATTTGGAGGTGGAGCCTGGGGCAATCACTGGAAAGACGAAAAGGACAGAACAGCGAAGAGAGATAACGGAGAGATTAGCGAGGGGAGCGAGAAGGGGAGGGAAAGGGGAACGAAACTGGGAGAGGAGACGCGAAAGAATCGAGGGTTGGGCTGCCGCGTCGCGCATTGGGAAATCGAATCGCGGAGGACAGATAGTTACGAGATGGATAGAACAAAGGAGAAAATGTGGCTGGAATGACAACGACTGTCGCAACCGGCGGGGCCGGGGCCATTGTGTTTGCTTAATGCCCGCGTTCGAACGAGAAATCGACGGCCCGGCCGATCGGAGGCCCGTTCGTACTCGAACCGCTCGCTCGTGAAATTTTCTGCGTGAATTCGCAGTTTCCCGAAGAAACGAGACTCCCCGGGGAATCTCATAAGAACATTTGGAGAGCACCTTGTCCTTTAACCTTTAGCACTCGAAAGTCTTTGACTAAAAACATTCAACATTTTGCAATGAGTTGTAGACGAAATTCTTTGAGACGAACTGAATGACAGAAAATACATAAGTTAAGAAACAAAGTTACTGTTTCTATATTTCACATGTTTATGGATTACACAGAGTTTAATGTGTGTATGGTTACTGGGTCACCTTTCGAGTGGAAAGGGTTAAATTTTCGATACTGTTCTCGGGAAGCAAGTACTACTGTATAGGTTACCCGCAAGTAGAATCGGCCAGTCGTGGACAGACGCAGTGGATGTCCCATTGTAACTGATTCTTCAAGGGAGTCTCGATTCTCTGCAACATAAACACTTGGTTTACAAGTTCAGCAGACTAAATTTCATAATTATTACTAGTTAAATGTCTACGTCAATTTTTATTGATCCAATTACACGTATGTTCCTATTTTTAAACTCGCAATTTCAAAAGTCTGAAATCTAAACGAGTATCGATCTCTCCAGGAACAATATAGTAAACTGTACAATAACCTAACCTGTTGTTAATACAAAAATAAATCTGGAAATTTGATTATTCTTACGAACTGCGGCAATCTCCAAGGTTGATCGGGTGAGTTCTAGACCGTGTCTTCGATTAAGAAACTATTCTGCTCTACAGATGTAGAACGCTGCCGAAGGTCAGAGAGGTACGGATGCTGAAATGAAATTTGAAATGCCGATACTCTGACACAACCGCGCGTCATCAGGTTAGATCGATTCACCGGCGCACCGGTAGCCGTGATAGCGAGCGAGGCTTTCGTAATTATTCCCCTGACATTATTTTCGAAGGAAACCGCGCGCAATTTTCGCCGAGCCTGCTTGGCGTCCCGATCACCACCGGCTCGCCTTGCCGTTCAAAGACGTTCGTTCGCCGCGACGCGCTCCCCGACTCGTCGAGAATGTTATTTACAATACTGCCAACCCTTAACTGCCGAAGCAGGCGGTCTGCATAAGCTCGTTGCCTCCTTGACCCATTAACCGAGTATCCTTTCCACGGAGAACGAAATAACTTATCTCGCGAGGATACGAACACTTCCATGCTTTAATTAAGAACTTCGCTTCTTACTCGATCCCGCCCGGGGAACGAGGCTGGACTGATCGATATTTCCTTCTTTAAACCTCGCAACACCTTGACCGCTGAATCGATATTACGGTCGAAGCAAGTTTCTCGGCGCAACAAAAACTGCGCGGTCAAGACCTTCCAGAGATCTTTCCAGTTAACTGTAGGAACCGTTGAAATCTTACATCGAAAGCCTTAAACCTTTCAACATTTTCTGATCAGATACAGACGATATTCTTTGAATCTCAGTAATGAGAAAATGCACGTGAACTAAGAAACAAAGCTATTTTATTTCAATAGTTCACATATCGATGCATTGTACAAAGTTTAATGTTATACATAAGATTTAAGAATTCAGCTATATCCAATCAGGTGACGACTGTCGCCTCTCGACTGCAAAGGGCTAAACTCGCAAACTTGCCGAAATCTGGTTTAGCATATACTAAGACTCCCAAAAATCACGAACATAGAGATACTCGAAAGAACAAGGAGCTAAGTACACAGGAATCCATCGTCTTAACAAGGTGACATATTCGAACCTAAAATACTCAAAAGGAGATAAAAACCCGTCAGTGGAATCTCGAGATCGAAGACAAACACCTGGATCGCAGAAACAGCGGAATTCAGTTTGAAAAATCTGTATAATAGGATCGAATAATAATAATATGTACTCGTAAAACGTGGCTCGTCGAAAAATCGATAATTGATCATTAAGGAAACGAGTGGCTTTTTACGTTTTAATATAACGAATATAACGTGCTCGAGCAACGCAGTTTGCTGGTTAACGGTGGGGCCGAAACAATTGGAAAACACAGAGTCCGACAATACGCATTCCACGGTGAGCAGCGGTTCACCTCCTTCGCCCATAATTATCGTGATTCGATTACTCGTATGTACAAGGATGTTAATCGCCGGGATCCCGACGGTCATAAGCCTGCATTCATTGAGGTCCGTGTACGCGGAGAATGCCAGTCGTTCGGCGCATTTTCATCGTTCCTTTTTTTTTCGTCGTTTTTATTCTTTCCTTCTCCTCCGGTTCGCCCCGCTATCCCTTCTCCCGTTGACCGTGGCACGGAACACGAATATCGGGTTCTCGAACGATTTCGTTTCGGTAGGCCGGCACGGAACAGGCTGAAGACGGGCCGGGACGGGACGGGACGGGACGAGCCGGAATTTCACGGTAAATTCCTGGCGCGTCGAACGTGGCCCGGTTCCACGTAAAATTTCGTACCGGCCGTCGGCCGGGCTCGAATCTGCCGAACCGGTGACCCAGTGACGTACTAAACAAAGCCCAGATCCCCCATCCTCTCCATCCGGAGGCTTCCATCGGGTTTTTCGTGACCGGCACGCCGGGAATTAACCCCTTAACGGCCGTGCCAGTGACATATACGGGCAGAACGGATCGACAAAGGACGGTAATGAGGATTTATTCATTTGTGTGCCTTAGAATATGTCTATCATTCATGAGTTTTTCAGGGAATATTGGTTAATATTGTTAATAATATTGTTCTAGGAATTGTCGAAGAAAAAGGTTTCGTGAAATGTTTTGGGATTAATTGAGCGTTGCGGTTGTTAATATTAATAGTGAGTTCCGAGGTTTAGTGATTTTTGACGGCAGGTTGAATGGTAATTATTGAAGTGGTAAATCTTCAGAGGTGGCTGAGGTGATATTTCTGGGCATCGTAGTCGATGTTTCAAATGGGGAAAGAAACGCCAAAGTCACGTGTTACAGTGTAAACGATTAATTAAAGGCTTTCGGGAAACGTTCGAGGTACACTGGAATATCACTCTCTTTCGCCAGTTATTATCCGTCGTATATAATTCATAAATTACAGTACGTACTTCTAAACACGCTTAGTTGCTAGAACGTAATTAGGACTTGGGATAATTAGAACTTTCTTCCGGAGAAGTGTACGAGCAGCGATGTTAATATGCTAACCCAGTATTAAAGATGTAAATATGTAGCTATACTAGATTCGGTGTAATATATGAGAATCTTTTATCACGGGGAATGACATCAATTTTATCCGAACAATCAAACGAGAGCATGATTAACCATTAATCCTAGCGGATAATTAAAAATTGGTACGCCTACACAAATATGATTTTCAAAATACATCATAGAGTTTCTGCAAACAACATTTCCCCAAGAAATCGCCTTACTATATCACTCAAAACAGTGTATTCCCTTCTAATCGTATTGCCATTAATACTCAAAACTGATTAAAGAAATACGTACTTCATAATCATCATCATCATTGAACTCCAAACAATTATCAAACAACCATCAGTAATCGACCCGTTACAAACATATACTAAACTCATCATGAACTAAGTCTCCATTCCACCTTCCGGATCGTCCAGAGTTTTAATTACCCAGGAACCCAATAATTTCGATCCTCGGATTACACCTCGGAACACATGCAACGGAAACACGCTGCAAAACTCCCCGAGCTTTCATTTACCGGGACCGTTAGTCGCCCAATTAAATCGTGTGACCCAAAGAAACGTAATACAACGCGAATAATAACAACAGCAGCGTTCTAGCCGTATCCCGGATTCCTCGCGACGGAGGCACGGACGCGTACCGCGCGGTGAAAGGTTACAGAAACCCGAGAAGTGTCCGTGTCGGGACTTGGCCGCCACCGAAAGTGGGTAACGAGACTTCCCCGCTATCCACGAGGGTCGCGTGCGCGACAATTAAGCGATTAAAGACGGACACGCGCGGCGCGAGCCGATCGCCGGAGCTCGGCCGGCGTTTGCCGCCTTGTTGCGCAAATCGCGCATTCGCGGCCGATGACGCACGCGGCACCCGCCCGCCCGGTGCCATTTCAGCCGGCACTGTTTCGAGCCGTAATTTCAACGGCTTCCCATTAAGCAACCCGACGATTGCCGGCCGATTGGTTACAAGGATCTCTTAATCGACGCCGATTTTTATGCGCAATCGCCGGCTCCCACCGGGCGGAACGCGCTCGTCATCCTCTGATCTCGGGAAGAAGCCACAGAACGGACTGATTGGACAATAAGGACCTATGCGAACGAGCGACAACGCCGCAGCGGTAACGCTGTGCGATTTTGAAAGAAAAAGACGGAAGTACCGACAGATACTGGCAGTGACGCTAGAAAGCAACTAAACAGTTGCGTTTTCCTCACTCCGCTGTAATTTCTCCTCTACCCTATTCCTTATTGGCGTAGGCTGGCCGAGCGTATATGCGTTATGCGTATGAATGCATGAATGCAGTGTGGCGTACCTGCTTAAGTGTTTGGGACGATGCGTCGGACGAATGATTTAGTTTTAGAAATCGGGCGAAGAGGGAAAAATGTGTTTGCTTGTGTGTGTGAGTGCAGAGCACGATAAGGGGCGAGAGCGACCGAGCGGGGACGAGTTTGACTCCGGCGATATAGACGACTTCATAGCGTAGCACGTAGTGCGGTGAACCCTAGTATATATATATTTACATTAAATACCTTATACGTTTAATAAGTTCGTCACGATTAACTATCCTTACTCACGATATCCATCACTGCATTAGCATCCTTCAATAAACTCCACAACCACGACAGAACTCTACAGTAACGTCGGGGTAAACTGTGTTCTCCTCAATTTCCCCTCAAATTAAGAGCAGAAATAGTCGCTCTAAAATCCAATTGTGAGTCACGAAATGGCTCTTCGAGCTCTTCGTCGCGTGACCTTAGTGTGCGTGCCGTCTTAGATAGTCATACACCAGAACCGAAAATCCGCGTGGACAAGGCGTGCGCCTTTGAATCTGACCACTTAGACGAGAGTGCCAGGTCGCCGGCAACTGACGGTACATGCTACTTATTCGCCTGTCATGTTAGTTCCATCGGCCTTAGACTTAAACATGCACAGGAGCAAGGGGAATCGGCCACTCGCGATATCCGGGCCGCTTAGACGCATGGTCATTATCATCGCATTCGGTCTCGCTTCTTTCTGTTGTTATTGCTGCGCGTTAATGATGATTATGCGTCGAAAACCGAGACGGCCGGAACATCGCGAGTCGAAGAGTCTTCTTGCTTTTGTGACGTTTTAACTTTTTGGAGTGACTCAGGACGCGAGGGTTGCGCAGTAATGTTCTCTTATCCTCTTTTTGCGAGACGGAAGAGTTTTTCTCTATTACTCCAACATCGCGACGCTATTGTATGTAGATTCTAAGAATCAAAATGGAAATTTGAGGATAGATCGAAGACGTTGAGACATTTAAGTTGAGTCGAATTGATAA